TATGTTCATTTCCTAGAAATGAACCTCAAAACAGAACGCTCAAGCGTGCATTCTGTTTTGGAGCATAAAAAAAGTTAATTTTAGACTCATCTGTCCAAACGTGATTCCAGAACTCGTGTTTGTCTGGCAAATTTGAGTCTTTTCTTAAGCAGCTCATCCACGGGAGCGGATGAGCTGCTTCAGTCTGTTCCAGTCGGATCAATCTCCATTAGCAGGTCTTTTGCAGTTCTGCACGACTTTTCTGTTTTTTTTTCTAACAGGGGAAACAGAGACCACACCGTATTATGCATAACCATTTTGATTGACAGCAGACTGCATTTTTTTTTTTATTTGGCCGTGATTTACGTCACTGAAAACTCTAAGCAACATCTTAACCACCGCAGTGCGGAGGAGCGTAATCATCAGTGTAACCTTGAGCAGCTGCAGGAGCACATAAGTCAACCTTGGGAGCAGTTGACCGTAATTTCTCTCTGAAGAACGCATATGCAGTGAAGAAGAGTGAAATGGTGCAACTTTGGTCAACATTCTGTGGAAGTTACATTTTTTTACATCGGCCAGCGTGAAACACCGGATCTACATAATATTAGTTTGGTGTGATGTGCATTTTAGTCTTTGTTTGGAATCTTCTTCTAATGTTTGACTATTGGTTTATGTCTTTTGACTGCATTACCTAAATCCAAAGAGGTTGCCTATTTAAAAAGAAAATGTCAAAATACAGATAGCGTTGTACATCTATGCAACCAATCCGAGTATTTTATTGTTCCCAAAGGGAAATTAAATAAATAAATACTGAATTTAAATGATTGCACATTATTTTTATTTTGTTTGGGCCAATAATGACTTTCGGTAAGAAAAACGGAAATAGCTGTAAGATTCCATGAAAGACACAACGTCGAGTTTCTCCATTGCGGAGTCTCACCGCAAAAAAAAAAAAAAAGTAAAATTGTTGGAGCAATGACCAGAGATCCCGTGCATTCACATCATGCCCAAGTTCCTACTTTTCTACCCATAATCACACCCACAGTAGAGGGGAATAGACTCCAATGAACACACTCCAAACCAACCTGAAGTAGATATTAACCAGCTGGCCTGAAACTTGACCTTGGAGAAGCAGCTTTAGAGTGCAAAAGTTTTCACCTTGTCCGGTCGGTAGCTATACACCTGAGGTTTAAATAGGGCACACCTTATTCTGCAAAATATTACACTTTTTTTTTTAGTTATGTATGACAAGAACATTTTTAAGCTGTCCTTCCCTCTTTTTCTTTAATTGCTTAGCTACAATAATACATTTCTTTTGTATTGCTAATGTTCACAATAAATGTCCCCAACGATGTTTGAGAGCCACATGGAGTGACCTAATTTGTCAATGTGACTGTATAAACAAAGCTACACACAGCACATGTGCACTTATGATGTGCATAGTATCAAAGTGGCTTAGTGGTGCAAAAGAAACAGGAGAGTTGTGCTCAGCGCAGATGAAAGGCAAAAGAAAGCCGCTCCTCGTTGTTGGTTTACCCTTTGTCAGGCAGGGTTGAGATATGCACACTCTCTACTTTTACCCTCCCATCAGTGGAGAACAATAGATGTGCAGAAGTTGCTCAACACTAAGTATCAAGATCATAATAGACATTGTTTGGAGGACAGCCATCGAGGAACCTGAGACTTCGGTGAGAGAAGAGACAGTTGAGAAGATTAGAGTAAAAGAGCAGCGTGTGAAGGATTACATTTATTGTTCAGTATTTGGGTCTTATAATCGTTCAGCAAAACACCAAATACTAGAGTGACTGAACGTTTTACATCAAGAAAGTTCTGTAAAGCTTGTTACACTCACATAAAGGGAGTGTGGAGGATTTAGACAATCAGTATTCAAAATTCATTAGACTAAACAATGACCTGGTTTCAACAATGAGTTTAAGTGGAACATTTATGGTGGGCGATTGCCATTGTGTGATGCATTGTGTTCAACTCTGATGGCCTAAGGCCACTGCCAGGTGAGCTACAAGAGGGGTGTAAGTGTGTGTATATGTGGGTGTAAACCTGGAAATTTGATGATGTCCTAGAGTGGAAATACTTACAGTGCACAAAAGGCTTGAGAACAATCATAAAGATGAACAAATGCTACCCTCCCACAGGCAGAAACAGAATTGAAAGGAAACAAAAACTGCCCAGGTGTTTCAAACAAGAGAGATTGGTTTTAGATATGTAGTATTTAAGAAAGCAGAAAAAAGGAAAGTTCAGGGTGACACAGAGAAAAGGGCAGAAACTAACAATAGCACTTTACAATTAGATGAGAAAAATTTTGAACAAAATAAGCCGAGGAGGTCTACACAGTATACAGTAGGTCAGAAATAACAGATTTCTGACCTAATATATCATGAAATATTAAAAAATGTTCAGTGGCCAAAGCAGAGAAATCATTGAGATTGTCTATAAGTCACACTCCTTCAACTTGAGGAAAAAAACGACAACATATGCATATGGAGTTTAATGTTGAAATTAGTACAGTTAGTTTAAATAAAATTAACTTCAGATATAAATTAAGTGATCATGGTTGTAGTTGGCAAAAGTAGGAGTTGAAGCCATTCAGTTCTAATTGGCCACGTTTTCAAATATTGAGCAATTAAATTTGGAGCAAGAGCTGGGGATGGTTGTTCTGCAATCTCGGCAGCCTGTAATTCAGATAACTGTTCACGTCCTGCTACACACTGCCATGTAGATTTAGGTCTTGACTTTGACCATCTCATTCTAACTCATAATTATACTTTGATGAAACCTGTGCATTGTGCCTCTAGATGTATATTTTGAGCAAACTATCTAAATCCTTCAAAGAACTACATTTTCTATTTAGGTTACTTCTGAAGGCAACTGGTTACACTGGATTTTATTCAGCAGTGATAGAATAACGAGTAACACGAATTCACATTCTATTTTTTACAATTTTTGTAACCAAGAATGCAAAGCATTATTCTTCTCGTTCTGGACTACCAGATAAACTCCAAATAAAAACATATTGAAGTTTGCCAATGCAATGTGGCAAAATGTGCAGAAGTTCAAGGGGTTGTGAATGCTTTGATGGACTGTAACTCCTGGGTGTCGTTAAAATAAAGATGGCCTTATAGTACCAACTGGCTTCATGATACAATCATCACCAGCTCTCATTAACAGCTGCTCAGTTCAAGAGTGTACTCACGCTTCCACGCCTACAACAGCTTTCACTGCCTTCCTGACTCACTCATCAATAAGCTGGGAGTGGGAGTGATATTTAGTTTGTGTCATCGTCTCTCAATGTGGGAACTCATACTACATGTTTGAATAAATACAGAAAAATAACAACATTTTGAGCACACAATGAGGCCCCAGCAGCGTATCAATCAGCTGTGTACCTCTCGCAGGCATCAAAGACTGGAAGGAAAAATAACATTGCACACCCTTTTCAAAACACACACGCACCCTGCACTTACCCACTTTTGTGCATGTGTACACAGAGACGCGCACCATTCTCACTAACTGACTCGCCCACACCAACAACGGTGCACGTGCACACACACATACACACAATTACATAAGCACCCTAGGAGTTTGGCAGAGATGAGGCAAAAATCAGAGTGGGAGGCCAAGCACCTGGATGAACAGATTATGGTCTAAACCCCACCAGAGACACAGACGATCTGCTGCAAACTTCAATTTTTCTCCTTAGCATGGGTTCTGGGCCTCTCTTCGCCTGAGGAACACTACAAGCCTCAGTAACCTTGGCTCACAGACATACCCAAAAATCTGCTCATTTGTAGTTGGGATGACTACAGATGAGCAGTAGTCATGCGTAACAGCTTTATCGCATAACATAAACTGTCCAAAACCATCAAAGTAAAACTTTACATGCATTTATTGCTATATATTGGACTTTTACACGATTTCATCCCAGGAGCAATATAATGCAAACCCTGGAAGTAGTCTTGTGGTAAAACATTTAGCATGCTGCATTAGATATGACATTTGGAGAACGATCAAGAACACTTTCTTTTGCCCGTAGGTATTAGTATTGGCTCCTGGTGGTGATTGATGTTTGACATCTTGCTGTAAACAACTTCCTCTAAACTTCCACAATCTCGCAAAAGAAACGCACTTTGACAATCACCACCTATATTACTCGTCTTGACAGCCTTTCCAATGACATCACTGAAACTGTTGTGCTCAAACATGTAAGATTTGTACAGTATTAAGTACGCACAGTTACTCTTGACTTTGTTTTCTATTCTTGAAGTGATCATGCCATCTGGTGGCCAGTACAGTTAAATTCACATTTCATTTAACACCTTAACTGTCACCCTCAAAATGCTTACATGTTAACCAAATGGACACCAGTGACAGTGAAATCAATAAATGTAAGTAATCAGGCAATAATTATATCTCATGTTTCACATTAAAGATGCCATAATAACCAAAACTTCATCAAACTGTTTAACATTATAACATTCAAGTCTATATGCATGCATATATATATATATATATATATATATATATATATATATATATATATATATATATATATATATATATATATATATATATATATGTGTGTGTGTGTGTGTGTGTGTGTGTGTGTGTGTATATATATAAAATATTAATATATATATAAAAATTATATATGTGTGTGTGTGTGCGTGTGTTGGTGTGTGTACATACAGAGGGAGTTGTTCACCTCTGAATATATCATATAGAGGGAAACAACTTAGACAAGAGCCATAAAAATAAATATTTCACTTGATTTTTTTATAATCTCCAAAGAACAGATTCAAAGGAGCGATTTGCATAATTCCTTATTGTGATCTTGTTTTTTTGAAAACTGAGTGCAGTAAAAATGTAACATTTTGTCACCTCAAAAATTAGCTACTTGTACTAAAGCAGTTTCTTACTAGGCTTTACAACAGCTCATATAATGGTGCATGATTGTCCAAAAACCTCATAATACAATGAGAGTATTTTTAGTACTAAAAACTTACTCCATCGGGATACGAAACTGGACGGTGTCAGGAGGCTGCTCCTTTCCCGGCCTCACCAGAGTCAGAAACCAGTTGGGCCTGAAGATCCTCAGCTGGGGGTTTCCCAACTGGTAGAGAGGGTAGCTGAGACGAGATTAAATATTTTCAAATGTTAAAAATAAAATTGTGTAAAAAAATAAATAAATAAAATAAAAAATTATTTTATTTTTTTTATTCAGAAGAGAAATGGAAATAAATTATTTACAAATGTTTAATGTTAAACTGTCTATCTGAAACAAAAACTAAATGTGATCATTTTTAATTGTTTCCTACAATCCAAATAATAGCCAGTGTCAATGGTAATGTCATTCGTCACAGAGTTCAGAAAAATGTTTGCTCGCCTGACACTGATGATGTACCAAATAAAAGTTAACTGCGGGTTTGTAAATTGGGAATTTCTGTGAGGGGATTAACATCGTATTCTTAAATCTGAGTATAAATGTTGAATTAAAAAAAAAAGAACATGTAGGTGCTATGACCTTATTTTATGTTTTGTGATGTCTGACAGGACTATTTCTGTGACGTTTACGGGAAATAATGTCAAATATCACAGCGCTCCTCTCAAAGAATATGCCCGCAAGAGTCTCTTAAAGCTGCACGGTTGGCTGAACCTAATCCGGAACGACGCTTAACAAAATTAAGAGAAAATATATTCTCCTAAAGTCCAACTTGAGCAACGAGAGCAGCGTGTTGACTGTTTTTAGCTTAGCTTGCTAATGCTAACTACTTTCTCGCAGTGCAGAAGCTTTCCATTTACAGTTCAAAGTATCAAGAAATAAAACACCTTTACAGAGCATTACATGAACTAATCCAATCAACATGAGGACAGATAAGACAAGGGCTCGGACAATGTTAGATCCCGACCGCAGGTAATTGATGGATTACAAAATTAAAACAAACGGTGAATACCATTACGCAACGAGGTCTCCGATCATTCAGTAGAAATAAACACGTATTACTTACACCATTCTTGTTGCTGACATCGCTGCAGCAATATAATCAGACAGATAAAATGCTAACAACTGGACAACGTTGGTTTTCAAGGTTGAAAAATGCTACACGTGAATAGATGTGCTTCCGGGGGGAGAGCAGAGCGCTGTAGTGGTGGGAATTCCGGCTTTTTTTCCCGAGATCCGAGTCAGATGGCTTCGTTCAAAAAAAGAGCCGCGTCTTTTGGTTCATAAACCGAGAGTGGCATTTTTGTTACAAAATAATTAAATGAAAATGTTGGTATGTAGTAATGTTATTAAGATTAAACTAATTATATGGAAGAAATTTATGTTTAAATGTTTGAATAATTCGCCTAATATATATAAATTGATACCTTAACATTTTACTTCACTATGTTTCAATTATGTAAAAAAAACAAAATAAATAAAATAGAATAAAAAATACAAATTTATTCAAATATTTAATATTTCCTGTGTTTATAGTTTCATGAAAGAATTTAAACTGATGTTTCTAAATCAGAAACAAATCTTGTTGGGTACACTGCAGTGAACTTGAGACTAATCAGCAACATGAACTCACTGAGTGTCTATATCTAAAGAACAAAACTGTCCTAATTCTATTAATTAAAAAAATTATAAATGCTTAGACTGTGAAATACATACTTTATCTGTTTTCAGTGTATTGCTAGTGAAGAATGTCATTAAATATTTTTGTTTCAAAAATAAATATTTCTCTGTGCATTTAATTACATTGTCCCATGCTGCAGCACATAATGAATCTATATTATCAAAGTAAATGCTTACTATTTTCTTTAGACTGGAGCTTCATTGTTTTTTGTAGCAATAGAGTTGGCATGACAAAATAGCTCTTTCAAGAGTAACACAGAAAAATTGCACTTTTAAAAGTACGGCTGATAAGAATATGTACCTCAAATAAATGTTTTTAATGATATAAAAGACACCAAAGTAAAATTTGAAGACAAAGAGGACATCAGTGAATTGTCATTCAAATGTAAAACAGAAGCAATATTTTTGACTTCTTTCCCAATTTGAGTTCTATACCTTCTAGGGTTTTTTTGTTAAATAAAAAAAACAAAGACTTAGTCTTCATTCTTTCATTTTCAGTAGGATGAGCATGTGCAAAACTCATGACAAAACTCATGACATTCATTCAGCATTTTTGTAAATAAACAGAGTATTTGGAAGTGTTAGGTGTACGCAGAGGAATGAATATCCCACCCCTTTTTCGTCCAGATTGTTGGTGTGTTTCTTTTCTCAAGGCTACAAGGGGGAGAGCCTGTCCCCTCTTTGCTCCAGCCTCTCCCAGTCGATGCTATGGAGGAATGATTTAAGCTGCCATGAATGGAACCGGGCTCAAACGGTTCAGACCGAGAAGGAAATGGGCCACAGTGACAGTCAACACTGCAATGTGGAGGGAAGCTTCCATCACTTAAGATGGAGTGGTGAGAGTGTATGTAGGTAGATGTGGGAGCTGGAGTGAAATCAGGTTTTTATTATTTGATAGGTGTAATATTTAATAGTTATCACTGGTATTCTGTCCCACTATGAGAAGATGATCAATGCAGTTTTGTTTTAAAGAAAAACTTAAATTCCTTTAGAAAGAATTTTCCACAGTTTCATGATTACTTGCTTGCTGCCTTTGAAACGATTCATCTGACAGCTGATAGGAGAAAGCATGTCAGTGATGGGGAGACATACTTCAAAAGCTATGTTCTGAATTATAAGTGCACTTCAGTTTGTGTTTTGTAAGTCCACAGTTGTTCCATGTCAGATTTACAGCACTTTCCTTCCACTTGGCCTGAAATCAGGTGTTTACCGGTGAGGAGTCGTAGCTTCAGTACCTCAGTATGAGTGTCAGGTTTCAAGTCAGGTTTTTGAGGATCACAGGGAGACCTCAGTTCACTCTTCCTTTGACTGTCTTAAACACTAATGTCTTTTAGTAATGTTTGTACAAGTATGATTTTATTGTGTGAACTCTAGGATGAAGAGACCAATGGGGATCCTCAAACAAATAAATGAACTAATTATATAATCTAACTTTCTAACTTTTTGGGTATGAAGAGATTAAAATTTTTGTGGTTTCTTCAAAAACTTGTTGATAGCTTGCTATGGAGTGACTTAACTGATCCCATTGCTTTCTGTATGTTAACAGATCAGTTTTGCAGCAGTTAGACTGCAAAACCCTTAACTCTGTAATATACACGCAGCCTCTCACATAATCAAATGAACCCTGAGCAGCAGTAGCAAAATGACTTGTTTTCTCTTAATTGAGAGCATTGCAATTATCTTTTTTTTTTAAAACTTCAACTACATTTAACTCACACAACAGTTTGCTGTGCATGTATACAAAAAAAAAAAAAAAAAGAAAAGATAGAAGCAGAAAGAGAAAATATTGAAAGTTCAGGTCTGGGGCAGAGAAAAATTGTTTCAGCGACAGCCCAGAGAGGGAAAAAGTTCTGGTAAAGAAGTGAGCGCACTAGCTGCAGAGGTGAACAGGGGGAACAGTGGGATTGTCCCGCCAACATCCAGCATGAAGGCTGCATGGAAACTTTCCCCCTCTAACGCTCAGGCAGTCAGAGGAGAAGTTGTCGGTATTGAATATCCAAGAGAGGAAAAAAAATGGTAGCAGTAAATTGAAGATCCAGACATGAAGACGGAAAAGTTCGTCAGCCGAAGCAAATAGTTTTGCATGGCACAAGTTGTGCTGTGACTAGACTAAAGCATTTGAAAATGATAATATGAAGTAAATGTAAAGAAGAAAAAAAGATTGGTTATTTTTTTATCAAAACTTATACTCTGTTTATAGTAAAGCATAAAGTATCATTTTCAGCTAATAATTGAAAATCAAAACATAGCGTAGACTATACACTTTTTTATATGCAACAATAAAATAATTGTTGCACCTAATTGTTATGGCCTGGGTTGTTTTGAGTTGTTTTTAATATTTCATTATTCTGTGTTCTTTAGTCTTTTTCTTTGATTAGATCAGTCCACCTAGCTCATAACAATAATATTTGTGGTGTGCTATTTTCATGTATTGTAATTCAAAGTGGTCTGTGAGAATAGGGTCACATAAAATTACTTTGAAAACAAGAAACACAACAAATACTAGCTGAGTGTCCTTTGCTCTATTGGGACCAAAAATAACGAGCCCCATTCATTTCTTTTGCATCAGGAGTGAGGAAACCTATCCGATAATCATTATCGGGGACAGAGTCAGCGACTGTAATTTGCTACGGTCATGTGGTGACTCAATTATGAAGTTGAGTGTCAGCTACATGAAAGACATCATCTCTCAGCATGATGTTGTAATACAAATATTAAGCTTACACTGTGAACACAACATCACCTTAGAAAACATTTTACTGGTTGAATTAAACTCGGAGCAGAATGTCCATACACAAAGGTTCATATTTAAAATCACAATTTACTATTTATAATACTGTTAGTAACTGTTGTTAAAGTTCAGAAGTTCCCTACCAAAACATTTTTTCAAATACTGAGCAGAGAATTTAACCTGTTAATAAAATTATACCTTTTAAAATGTATATTCGAATTCACATTCAAACGCACTTTAATTATATAATGTATAACTTTAATTGCATGCAGAATTGTATTTTATGTCAATATAAAACATTCAGTTTGAAGCTATAAAAAAAATACATAATTTCCATAAATCAAGACTTTTGTTTTATTGGGTAAATGTCAATATGCTAGTTTTTTTCATACGTGAGTTTATTTATCAAAACTACTATTCTAAAGCTAAGCACTTTTTATCTGTATTTTATAAACCCAGAGTAGGGTGTTTGGCCTATAAATTCAAATTATTCAAATGCCTTAAAATATTTTTTGTTTTTGTAGCTGTAGAGCAATAATATAGGCCTCTTGTTTTTTTCCCCCACTGTCTTTAAATTGACATAGCATTTCAAGATTGCTCCTGCAATCATAGGAATCATACCATTACTGTTGCCATTAAATTGTTGCCAAGAATTTAATTTCCTTTAAATTCCTTGTTATAGTAGCTTGCAGTAATCTAAATAAGTGGGTCAATCCACTTTGACCTACAAAACGTAAACCATTAGCCTGTCCACACCGCTCTTAATTAAACTCTTGCCTCCTTGCCATCACCAAATGGGCGGTCAGAGGTAGTGGCCAGCTCCAGCAAGATTCTTCGCCTTTTTTCATGCCCTCTGTTCATATAGTCAAAGCGAGGGTCGGCATGCCACGCAGCAATACTACAACTAATAATAGCTGCCAGGGTCATGGGCAATCTGGATGGCATTTAAATTTAGACCTTTCCCGGCGGATGTTCCATTGAAGTCATAAGCTCGACCTCTGACCCAGGAGCATGGCTGCCACTGGACCTTTGGTGAACTTGAGGTTTAGAAGTACAATTGCAGCACGAGCAGTCACACACAGACTTACAAAGATTTAGTCACAGGTAGGTACTGTGCATGTGCGAGATTTGATCTGCTGAAATCAAACAGGCTGTTTGAGGTGAAAAGCAGTTCGGATAAGACACAAAGGGTACTGAACACTAACTACATTCATTCTCTGTGATCCTCATATGACAAAGGAGGCCACTGACTGTGGTGCTTTTCTGTCTCTGTTCTCTGTCTCTCATGATGAAGGAACTTAGTGAAAATAAAATCACTTTTGTTTCTTGTTAAAAGCAACAAAGTCTTTCTGCTTTTAATTTCTCAACGCATGACACAAATTTGAATTCTTTTTTAAAATCACCAACAGCCTGAGGATTGTTCTTTAGATAGATAGTGAAGAAGTGCTTGCATGGATTCCCACCGCCTTATCCAGTGTCTCCATTGCTGCCAGAGTTATGTGATGGATCGGGGGGTTGAAATGCATAAACAGGGACGGGGCAACTGATCTGCGAGGTATGTCATGTAACAGATATCTGGTGGACAGTACCACTGAAGACCTCAATCTGAAATTATGGCAACATTGTAATGTTATAGCTTCTCCTGTCTCACTCTTTTTCTTCACACCAGATGACATGCTAGTTGTCATTAAACTAGTACATGAAGAACAATCTTGAAAGAAACATAATGACACTGACATGGAATGAAATAGCTTAGGTTTAATCAAGTTAGAGTTATGCATACCAGCTTTGCATTATTACATG